GCAACCTGCAAGACTCCCCCAAAACCCCAAAACCCCTTTTTATAAATTAGTCAATTAATCAATAAATAAGAGTTGAAAAAATATATTATTTGATGATTACCACTTTAATTTAGATACTTACTGCTATAATCTATGCTACCAATCATAGTCTCAAGAGAACTCCATTTCCCTACTTTATCTATAATTGGGTTCCTATTGGTCCTTGTCTTCTTCTAAGTCTGGATTTCCTCTGACTGTTATTCTACTTTATTACCTGCTTAGAATCTTGTGTTTCTTTCTGAAATCATCAATATCATCTGGCAGCTGTAATTCTATCAATCTTCCATCTTCATCTGCAACAAGCTCAACATTTAGAGCTCTGTAATATCTTAGATTTTCATTCTCAATAAACATGTTTAGAGCTTTGTATTTGAACTTTAAAGTCGCTTTCTATTCTAAGCCATTCATCATCCTATAAAACTTGCCAAGATAGATAAGCATCACGACTAATATTATCAGGTTGAGTAATGCCAGTTGCAATATGATGAAGCAAACATAAGTGCTCATTAGCAGTATCAGGAGTGATAAAACTTTATATAGTATTCTTCTGCAAAGAGGCGCTTGATTATGGAAAGGCCTTAAATTCACATCACTCTCAATTGTTATTAAAGTACCTTCAAATTCATTGAAATCTATGTTGTAGTGCTCCAAAAACACTTTTACTTTTTCCTTTATATCAAACCTCAAAGCTTATTCATTATACCTCGCTCTTAACTTTACCCTTTTTGTATATCTAAATTTGGGGTCTGAATTTCTTCCATCAGAATTAATTGGCACTGGTTGATCTCTTTATTAATTAGGAATCTGCCTACTATATATTTCCTGGATTTCATTATTCTGATTATCTTTTTCTTTTTATTAATTGAGAATATTCTCGAATGTTGCCGCTCGAGATTGGGGACTTTCGTTGTCTGTTCCTGTTTTTTGAGATGATCGGGCATCATTGATTGCAATTAATGGATTAATATTGTGTTTTTGTAAACTTTCCGCTTCGTTTATTTGATAGCTTCTCTTTTGCCCTTTAATTTCTAACTCCTCTTCCTTCGCATTCTGCTTGTTGAATTTATAATCCTGTAGATTTTTTTGTTAAAGTAGTCTCTAATTATAATCATCATCGAGCGAATTATTTTCCATAGTTTTAATTAATATAATCTTAAAAAATTTGAATTATATATTTAAATATTAAACTGACTCTAGAGTGATTTGGTTTCTGAGAAAGTTCCTCATGTCTTATTTTAGACTTGACCCGATTAATTAAGCCCTTTCAAAATTCTCAGCCTCCTCTAGTTAGACGTAGTACAGTGTAAAATTATTTAAACCTAGAAAAGTTAAATTCACTGAAAATCCTGATATATCGATTAAATAATTTAAGTTATGATAACAATTCATAATCGTGACCCTCAGTGGTGTCAATCTCAACAAAACTTATGTAATTAACCTTTATCCTCGCATTTTTAAATTAATGGGGAGATAATGGTATCAGAGTTATTGCACATTTCAGATTACTGTCTGCTTTAACTGAATTTAAAATCTTTAATTCGGGTCATTAAGCTGCGACTGATAATTTACATATCTTATCAAAAATCTATCATTGTATGTCTGAAGCGGCAGATAAAAGGAACGAAATATCTGGAGAAATATAGAATTATCAGGAAGGTTTATAAGGGATAAAGTTATCATTTATCCGATGGTTAATATTAAAGAGGATAATGATTGTGAGCAATATTAACACAAAATATAACATAGTATTTCAGAAATTTACAGAATGCTGATAAAATACCGAACACCAAGAAAAACAATACTACAAATTTTGCTATACTCTGATGCTTAAAAATACAAATGGCTTATACTAAATTTACAATTTTAATAAGATTTGGACGAGCATAATACATAGTAAAGATTATAAATTGGAGGAAAAAGCCATCAAGTTGATGGTATGAAAATTTAATTCATTGAATCAAGTTTCTTACTCTGCATGTTAATATAGTCATTTTTATAAAAACACTATTAACTAATTTCACAATTCATTCAACTCTTATCTCACGGGGTTTTGGGGTTTTGGGGTTTTGGGGTTTTGGGG